CGCAAGTACTGCATCCCAAATGTGCATGTTGTTCGGGATCCTCTGCCGGAGCCGGTGTTGCTCACACACGAGGCCGAGGCAAAGCCACAGCAGGCTGCCGAGCCGCGCCAAGAGGAGCCTGCCGAGGCAGCAGCTGAGTCCGCTGACCCTGCGGCCGCGGAAAGGGCAGGCGAAGGAGCTGGCGCCGAACCCGCCGCTCTTGAAGGTGGAGGCGAAAGCGACGATCCCATGGACCTGCCCGTCGGTGTCCCGTCGGTGTCCTGCCTGTGTCCCGTCGGTGTCCCGTCGGTGTCCAGGCGGTGGCCCGTCGGTGTCCCGTCGGTGCCCCGTCGGTGTCCCGTAATGAGATCGATCGCGAGATCGATTGTGAAATCGATAGTGAGATCGATCGCGAGACCGATAGTGAGAGTGAGATCGATCGTGAGATCGACAGTCGGTGTCCCGTCGGTGTCCCGCTGGTGCCCCGTAATGAGATCGATCGTGATTTTGATATTAGAATCGATCGTAAAACCGATACTGAGATCATTGAAATAATCGGAAGTTAGATCGATCGTGAGATCGATTGTGAAATCGATAGTGATATCAATGGTGGGATCGACAGTGAAATCGGCTGGGTGAGACGTTCCCCCCCCCCCGAGCCCCCTTTTTTCACCCGAAGGGTGCTCGTATAGGTACGTTCATGACGCCTTTGGCCGACAACCCAGGCATCGGAGGTGAGGGGGTGAGATCGAAGTGGAATGGAGAGCCCCCCTACCCGGAATTCGGTTTCGGTTTCGTGCTCGTGCGTGCCGTGCGTGCGAGCGAGGCGAAGCTGCGTGGGCGGGCGAGAAGAAAATCTCCTCCGGCTGAGGCGCGGCCGGACCAAATGTTTCCTCTCCGGGGGCCGGTGGCCCGCGGTGTCCCGCCGGTGTCCCGCCTCCGGCTGAGGCGCGGCTGGACCAAATGATTCCTTTCCGGGGGCCGGTGGTGATGATGATGATAGTGATGGTGGTGATGATGATGATGGTGCCCCGATGATGATGATGAAACTGATGATGATGATGATGATGATGATGATGATGATGATGATGATGATGATGATGATGATGGTGATGGTGATGATGATGATGATGTTGACGATGTTGATGATGATGGCCATGGTGGTGATGATGGTGTCCCGGTGATGATGATGATGATGATGATGTTGATGATGCTGATGTTGCTGATGATGATGATGGTGTCACGATGATGATGTTGATAATGTTGCTGATGATGTTGATGGTGATGGTGATGATGAAGATGATGATGATGATGATGATGATGATGGTGGTCCGATGATAATGTTGATGATGAGGTTGGTGATGATGCTGTTGGTGATGATGGTGATGGTGATGGTGATGATGATGATGGTTTCCCGATGATGATGTTGATGATGATGATGATGATGATGATGACGGTGATGGTGTCCTGACGATGATGATGATGTTGATGACGAGGTGATGATGATGTTGATGGTGGCCCGATGATGATGGTGATGATGATGATGATGGTGTCCCGATGATGATGACGATGATGATATGGTGATGATGATGGTGACGATGATGATGTGCAAATGATGATGATGTTGCTGATGATGTTGCTGATGATAATGATGATGGTGTCCCGATGATGATGATGTTGGTGATGTTGCTCGTGATGATGAGGATGATATGATGATGATGATGGTGGTGGTAGGTGTTCCGATGCTGCAGATGATGATTATGGTGTTCCGATGGCGGTGATAATGATGACGGTACCGATGATGGTGTCTCGACAATGAGGATGGTGATGATGATGATGTTGATGATGATGGTGATGAGGTGATGATGATGGTGTCCGGGTGATGATGATGATGATGCTGATGATGATGATGATGTGTATGATGATGACGATAGTGTTGATGATGATGACGTTGATTGTGAGATCGATTGTGATATCGATCGTGAGATCGATAGTGAGACCGAATGTGAGATCGATTGTGATATCGATAGTGAGATCGATAGTGAGATCGATTGGGAGGTCGATGGTCAGATCGATTGTTAGATCGGTTGTGAGATCGATCGAGTGAGATCGATCGAGCGAGACCGATAGTGAGATCGATAGTGAGATCGATAGTGAGACCGATCGAGTGAGACGTTGTATCCTCCCCCCCCCGAACCTCCTTATCACCCAAAGGGTGGTCGTATAGGTATTCCCTTGATCGGCTCCAGATGCCGCCAAGGCGACTCCAGAGGGCCCCGAAAGGGTTCAGAGGAGTCTCCGACGGCCCCTGGAGGCAAGTATGGGCGCGTGCAGTACTGCATGCGTTTCGTGTCGCAAAAGGGCTCCACGAGGGGCCCCCCGAGAGGACCCAGGGAGGCCGATCTCGTCCCATTCTTTTAGGTGGGCGCGCTTCGGGTCTGCGTGCCATGCACGGCGGCCCAAGAGGCGCTCGAGTGGGACCCAGGAAGGTTCAAGAGGACCCCCAGACGGCCTAAGAGGGCTCCAAGACGGTCCAAGGCGCACCCCCTTCCGTAGCCTTGTTGGCTCAAGGCTATTTTGGCTCAGGGCGGAGTTGCTCAAGGCGCGCGCGGCCTTGAGCCCGATACCGGCTCGACTTCGACCCCGTGCAGTTGTCGTGCCAGAACCCATCGACTCCGAATCCGTGCCCAGAGTGCCGGATCCATCCGAGGCTCCCAGGCTTTCTCGTTGACCCTGGGCTGGGTGGCCGACGTCGCCGTCGGATGGGCAGTGCCGCGTCGCTGCAGCACTTGCCACGCGCCGACGCTGCGGGAGATTTCGACTGCCTGATCGCAGAACCGTCCCCAGCTGGAGCCCCGGGCGCCCGGAGGGCATCGAGGCCGTCGGCACCGTGCGTTGCCAGCGTTCCTCGGGAGCCGCGGTTCGCGCGCTACTCGCCAGATGGCGTACCAGATCGGTTGCACGGCGCCTCTCGGCAGGATATGCGGAAAGCCATCAGCGACATTCTGCACGGCTTCGCGTTCAACTCGGCGGCCCGCTACGGCTCAGGCGCGAAGTTCATCTGCATCGGCATAGATGAGCGGTCCCCGTGTGGCGTCCATGCAGCCAGGAGGTGCGACATGCCCGGCATCCCAGAAGATAGGATCTTGGCTTGGTGCGCGCGCGAGACAATCTGCTCCGAGGAGGACTGCTGTAGAGAGTCCACCACAATCCTGAATTTGCTCATCCCCAGAGAGGCGGCCTTTGGCCTCGAGTCTACGCATCGGCGGTCGAACTGCGGAGGGACGTCACTGACATTCTGCACGAGCAGGGTGCTGCCACGGCGACAGCCTGTTGGTTTCAGGCGTAAGCGCATTACTCCCATCGGCCTCGTCGTGGACGACAGACTACAAGGCGAACATCGGCAGGGCAGTATGGATAATCGCAATGAACGCCCCAGTGACCCTTGAGTGCGTCGGTAGGGGTTGCGCAATCGTAGTGCAACGGCGGCTGGCTTGCATGGCTGAGCGCGCCCGTAAAGTGCCCAAATGCCGCACTTCGGTGCTTTCTTCTCAGTGGCGCTTTGCTGCTGGCTTCAAGCATGTATATCAAATATAAATATTCCCTCATTGATTCATTATCCTGCTGCTTCTTCTCTAGAGTCGCTACTATCGCTCGGCTGCAGCTGCAGCTGCAACGTGTATATTACACGTGTACCATTACCCCAACGGCATGAAAGCTGCTCGGGTTTGATTGCTGGCTTGGAGCCATCCTCCCCACTGTTTCTTGGCCTTGTAGTGCTGGGCTGGGCTGGGCTGTGAGTTTAGCTTTGTCTCGGGCCGGCGGTCGCCTCTTGCGCAGCAGCGTCGAGGTTGCAGGCGCGAGGGAGAGAGAGAGAGAGAGAGAAACACAACAAGAGAAAGAGAGATAGAGAGAGAAACAACGAGAGCAATGAGGAAACGTCGAGCCAGAGAGCTGGCTGTGAAAGTGGCCGCCCTCTCGCGCGGGTGCTGAGCTGCGACAGCTCAGGAGGCGAGCCAGCGGGCATTACGTCCGCGGACCACTGTACGATGTTTCATATGAGCGCTGGCGTATGAGCGCCAACGGTTGGAAGAGGGGGGCGACAAGGGGAGGTGAGGAGGTAAGATGCAGCTGCGTGCGAATTCAAGATTCGGATGACTTGTCCTCGCGCTTATCCTGGTGCTTTCAAGCGGGTGCGGACGCCTCTTGGGCTGACGTGTGACTGCGCACGTGCATCTGCGAGACATCTTTTGTGCCCCAGTTGCTCGCCCGAGGCAGTCCATTCCCTTGTTGGCTTAAGGCGAGCCGTCTCTTCAGCACTTTCCTCTCTGGGGATCTCCCCCGTGACCACCTCCTCCCCCCTTGCCTCCCTACCGTCTCTCCTTGTAGCTTTAATCGCGCGACGCGCCCAGGCTTCATTCAGCGCGCGCACTCTGTCAGTACGCCTGCGTCATGCATCCCAGCGCTATTGTTCGCCAGGTATCGACCTCTGCCGAGCGAGTAGCATCAATGACTGCTGCTCATGAGCTCTGGCAGGCGAGGGCCAACGGACAGTCTCTCAAATACAGCTGTGCCATTCATTTTTGGTTGGCTGCGTGTCGTCGTCTGTGAAGGCTAGTCTCCAGTACCTACAGATTCAGAGTTCAGATGAAGGCGGTATCGCCAACGAGCGATGCGCCCCATTTACCATTGTGCCCTGGCTAGTTTACAGTTCGGCTGGCCCTTTACCGGTACACTGGCTCTGTTACCTGTTGCAACTTCTCGAAAAACAAACACGGTCCAAGGCGCACCCCCGTCGGCCCAAGAGGCGGCCCGAACAGAACCCCAAGAGGGCCCCTAGAGGGCGCCCAGGACTGACGTGGGGGACTCTGTTGGGGGGCGCGGCTCCCAACGCGTCCCCAATACCTTCCGGTGGGCCTCCAGCACGCTCCCAAGAGGCTCCCCAGAAAGTAGCGCCGAGATGCTCCCAAGAGGCCCAGCAGAGGCTTCGAAGAGGCTCCTGGGAATGACTCCGCGAGGCCCCGAGAGGCATCCAAGACGCCCTTGCTTCAGGACCCAGTCACACGCACCCTTCCTACACGTTTCCATGTGGATTCTTTTCGTGTTGCCGTCCGCGCGCTGTTCCCGTGCGCGTTTGCGTTTGCGCGCGTTCGCGTATATACGTCAGCATGAATGCACTCCCGTCTGTCTGCGCGCGTGTGTCTCCTCTGGAAGCCGCTCTCGCAGCGGGAAGCGCCTCGACGGGGCCCCTCGCCGCCGCCGCCGCCGCCGCCGCGGTGCCGGCGCTGCCGCCGCGCCGCCGCGGCGGCCTCGGCGCGCGCCCGTGCGCCCCGCGCTGCCCGCGCAGCACCCCGCGGGCCGCGCAGCGGGCGCCGCAAGCCCGCGGCTGCGCGCGGCGACCCTCTGCCGCAGCGGCCCGTGGAGCTTCGGCAGGGCCGCGGGAGTCCTCCTCCCCCTCCTCCTCCTCCTCCTCCTCCTCCTGGCGCCGCTGCGCCGCGAAGTTCTCGCCAGCGATGCTCAAGAGTTTCACTCGGCACCGCCGGCAGCAAGCGAGGCCTGCTGCCGCATTCCGCCGACTTGCCGGACGGCGTGTGGCTCCTCCGACTCTGGCTCTCGCGCAACCTTGGGCCATCCTGGGGCTCCGTGGGGCCCCTCCTGAAGTCAGGCTGGGCCGCCACTCGGCACCGTGTGGGTGCCCCTTCGGGCCGCGCGGCCCTCTGCGGCGTCCGCTCTGGCGCCCTCCCCGTGCCTGCCTCGGGCCCTCTTGAGGCACTTCTTGGAGCCATCGAGGCGCCACCCCTCGGAGCTCTTCCTCGGCCCTCTTCGGTTTTCTGCTGGGTCCTGATTCTTGGGGCCGGCTCAGGCCTTTGCTTCGGAGCCCTTTCGGGATCCTTTGTGGTTGTTCTGGGGGCACTTCCCAGGCCTCTCTTCGGGCCACTTCGACACCATCTTCCAGCTCCCTCGGGGCTCTCTCGGGGCCTCCTGGGCCTCCTTGGAGCCCCACTCGGGGGGGCCTCGGGGTCTTTTGTTGTCTGCCCTTTGGGCCGCGCTCTTGGGACCTTTTTCGAGCGCCGTTTCGGTACGCGTCCCTGCTCGGCCCGCGCTCCCAGTGCTTGTGCACCCCGTGCTCGAACGGCTTGTGGGCAATTCTTGACGTTGCGCGTGCGCGCGCATTCGCGCGCTGCTGTGGGGGCCAGACTCCGAGGCGCGTAGAACTCGAACGCGCGCGCGAGGCGCGCACGCGGATTTGATGAGTGTATAGGTATAAATCTTACAATGTATACATCTTTGTATGTATGTGTGTGCGTGTCGGTGTGGGCTGGGAGAGGGGCGCGCGCGCGGATTCTTTGAGTGAAAATGTATGAACCTTACAATGTATACATCTTTGTATGTATGTGTGTGTGTGTGCGTGTCGGTGTGAGCTGGGAGAGGGGCGCCGGGCCAGCGCCGCGGTGCCGCGCGAAGGTGGCGGTCGTCACAGGTGTTTAGCGCCGACGGTGACTTCCTACCGCAATGTTGGCTCAGCGGTTCGGTGGTGATCATCACGTGTATGTTTGCGCCGACGGGGACCTCTAACCACAGTTTTTGGTTACAGGTGCGCGAAGAGGAGCCCCTGAGGCACCGAGCACGGCTCCATGAGAGCTCGGGGTCTTCCCAAGACAGTTCCGAGATGGCCCAAGACGACCACAAGACGGGCCCAAGGGGCCCCAACACGATTTCACGACGCCCCCAAGAAATTCCCAAAGGCTTCCAAACGGCCTCAAGAAGCATGTAAAACCATACATGTTGGAGTACCTCGCGTTTTCACTGCCAGTGGGGCCCCTCGGAGGCTTCCAGGAGGCCCCGTAACGCCCTAGAGAGCTCCGCGCCGAGGCCCCGAACACGGGTCCAAGAACGCTACAGAGGTTCCCAACACAGTACATAAGATGTTTCAAAAGCCCGCCAAGCAGTTCCCGAAATCGTTAGACAGGCCAAGAGCGCCCTCAGACAGTTTGGGACCCCCCCAGAGGCCCCAAGATGACCCGAAGAGACTCAGGAGGGCCCCAAAAGGCCCCTGGAGGCCCAATGAGTCTTCCACCAACCCTACAAGACAGCGAACTCGTTCACAAAAGTTAGACTGGCGAAGGACCTAACCAGTCGTGAGTAACGCAGTTGTGAGTGTCATCGGTGGAACTCCCTCTGGGGTCACGAAGCGTGTGAGGGGTGTGCCGAAATGGACATGAAGTGGGCGGGAAACCGCATGCGAACGCGGCCGCTGGGGCCTTCGGTGGAGCTCCCTGTGGGGCCACGAAGCGTGTAAGGGGTGTGCCGGAATTTACATGGGTGGGCGGGGAACCGCATGCGAACGTGGCCGCTGGGGCCTTTCGGTGTAGCTCCTTATGGGGCCACGAAGCGTGTGAGGGGGGTGAGGATTTGCGACTGCTGCGGAGTCCGCAGGCAGGGATGGGATGCGAGGAGGAGGAGGAGGAGGAGGAGGAGGAGGAGGAGGAGGAAGAGGAACAGGAGGAGGAGGGGAGACGCGGGGACTGTCTTTTCAAAACGAGGGCCCAACTCAATTCATGGCTACAGGGTTCCCCGATCTCGCCTCGTCGACTTGCCGAAGCGGGTCTGCCAAAGCGGCCTGCCGAAGCAGACTCGCACCCGTCTTCGCCTCATGTTCAAACCGTTTGTGGGTACCTACTTTAGTGAGCTGCGGGCTTATGAAGAGCTGGGGCTTGCTAGAACCTAAGCGCGCGAAATGCGCGTAGTTCTAGTGGCCGTATCAGCGACCTCGCGGTCTGGATTCGGGGGCGCGATCCTGCGGATACGCGGTCGTACGGATGCATTCCGCTCGGGGCATCCGCGAAAAACCGCCCCGTATCCGCGGGGTCACAGCCCAGGGGCCCAGCCCGCGAATCCGCGGATACCGACATGTTGTTCGCCCGCGAGGCCCCCGATTGATCTCGATCCGATGCGTGGCCAGGCTTCGGGCTGCGCACCGGCAGCCCCCCCCGAGTAGCCCTGGGCGGTCTCAGCGCCTCGACCCGTGGGCGCCGCCAGAGGCGGCGCCGGGGCGGCGAGACCGCCCCAGACTCCTCGGGGGGGCCTGTGGAAGCCAGCTGGGACCACCGGGGGGGGGGGGGGGGCGCCTGCTGCCTTTCTGCGCAGCTGCAGGGGTGCCACTTCCAATCCGGTGGCGTCCCGTCGTCGGCTTCGTCCGGCGAGCTCATGCGCGCCCGCCTCCGCCGAGCCGGGCCCGCACGCCCCCGCCAGGCCAGCTCGGCCTACCGCGGGCTCCTCGTGGTGCAGCTGTTCCGGAGCGAGGGCGCGGAGAAGCGCTGGGGCTTCCAGGGCCTAGGCGCCCCCGCAGGGCCCACTTCGATCCGATCGGTCCGCTTCGACGTCGGTGTCGGTCGGCCCGATCCGACTCCGGTGCCGAGTCCGAGGTTCCGATCCGATGATGCCCGGCGTGGCCGACTTGAGTCGATGCCGACTTCGTGCCGATGCAGGCCGACCCGACGGATATTCCGATTCGATGCGACTGCCCGAGTCGATGTTGTCTGACCCTGCCTTGTGGGAGGAGGAGGAGGAGGAGGAGGAGGAGGAGGAGGAGGAGGAGGAGGAGGAGGAGGAAGAGGACTCTCAGAGGGGGAAGTGGTACCGAGATCGATACCCGATGCCGCTGCTCGTCCTACAGAGCCCTTATCGCCACGGCTGGGTTCTTTTCGCAATTCGGGTCCGAGCGCATCCCGGGAGAGGGTCCAGGGTGTATCAGGAGGGCACAAAAACACACAGACACAATTAATCGTCGATTCCCCCGGAAATATAGGAAAATATGGGAAGGGGGGGGGAAGACAAAACCCCAGAACATATTGGAAGATATGGTGAATCCTGTTTTTTGTGTTTATTGATTTGTGTGACACAGGGCCCCTTCAGTGTGGAGGTGTTGGCACCTTCCCTTTCTTGCCCCCCCCCTACGCAGGAACTCTGCGCACCCTCTGCCGACCTGGGGCCCTCCTCGCGGAGGGGGCGAGCGGGGGGGCGAGGAGCGGGAAAGGCGAGCGGGGCGGCGAGCGGAAAGGGGGAGGAGAAGCACGCAGCAGCCTCGACGCGAGCGCAAGAGGGGGGCGCAGGGAGGAGGAGGAGGAGGAGGAGGAGGAGGAGGAGGAGGAGGAGGAGGAGGAGGGAGGAGGGAGGAGGGAGGAGGGAGGGAGGGAGGAGGGAGGAGAGGAGGAGGAGGAAGGGGGGGGGGGAAGAAGAGGAGGAGGAGGAGGAGGATGAAGAGGAGGAGGGAGGGAGGAGGGAGGAGGGAGGAGGAGGAGAAGGAGAAGGCGGATGAAGGAGGAGGAGGAGGAGGAGGAGGAGGAGGAGGAGGAGGAGGAGGAGGAGGAGGAGGAGGAAGGGGAGGAGGGAGGAGGGAGGAGGGAGGAGGGAGGAGGGAGGAGAAGGAGAAGGAGAAGGCGGAGGAGGAGGAGGAGGAGGAGGCAGAGGAGGAGGGAGGAGGAGGAGGAGGAGGAGGGGCGGGCGGTGCTCACGCGTGTGGCCATCGCAAGAGGTCGCGAGGGGAGGAGGGGTGAGGCGGCGGAGCAGCGCTGGCGCTCTCAGGGCCCCGGCGCCCGCCCTCCCTCGTCGTCGTCGTCGTCGTCGTCGTCGTCGTCGTCGTCGTCGTCGTCGTCGTCGTCGTCGTCGTATTCGTCGTCGTATTCGTCGTCGTATTCGTCGTAGTCGTCGCCGTCGTATTCGTCATCGTCGTCGTGATCGTCGTCGTCGTCGTTGGAGCTCCGGCGTCAGGATTGAGGACCGAGGTGGTTCGGTGAGGTTCCATGTGTTGGACCAGCAGGGGGCTTCTGGTCGCCACAGCTGAATTCTGGTAAGAATGCATCCCTGTATGAGTCCAGACGTAGACTTTCCATGGAGATCCTGGGGAGGAGGAGGAGGAGGAGGAGGAGGAGGAGGAGGCGGAGAACGGAGGGGCAGGAGAAGAAAGGAGAGAGAAGGAGGAAGGGGACGAGGAGGAGGAGGAGGACGAGGAAGAGGAGGAGCGAGGAGGAGGAGTGGGAGAAGGAGCAGGACGAGGAGGGGAGAAGGAGCAGTGAAGATGACGATGTTAAAGTTGGGCGCAAGCGGGGGGTACGGGGCTCTCCTGACCAGAGCGCTGCTGCGAGACTGTCAGGGCCTAGTCCCCTCTTGTCGTTATCGACTTCCCCTCTCCGCCTTCCATCCCTCCGCGCTCCGCCTCCTCCTTCCTCCTCCTCCTCTCCTCTCTTCTCCTCCTCCTCCTTCTCCTCCTCCTCCTCCTCCTCCTCCTCCTCCTCCTCCTCCTCCTCCCCCTTCTCCTTGTACGCTCGTCTCCTCCTCCCACTCCTCTAGCCGTTCTGGCCCAAGGTTTCGGCTTGCAGAAGCCGTCTTCAGAGCGGCAGTCGCTGCTGCGGGCCATGATGGCTTCCATTCAGTGTGAGGGATCTCAACCCTCGTGCTTTCAGTAAGCCCCTGCAGGAGCAACCTCTCGTGTGCAGGCGTGGCTTCCCCATGGGTCGTGATGACGAGTCGGCGCTCGAGGGGCATCGCGAGCCCAAGTGGGGCTGCCCCGATGGCGGGCGCAACCAGAACTGGGCCTGCCGCATCCGCTGCGCCTGCGGCCATGCTGCTCCGAAGGCAATCGCGCAGCGCGCCAAGGCGACAGCGGCCAAGGCATCCATCAACTGTCCTCATGGCGGCGGCGCTGGCGGGGCTCGTGTTGCTTGCACACGTAGTCCGCCGTGTGGGCTTGTTGGCAAGCCATCATGGTTGGAGCAGCAGCTCGCCAACCTCACCAAGCAAGTCGCCCAGCTCACCAAGCGTCACAGTGGCAGTGGCGGAGGCGGTGCACAGCGCGGAGGCAGTGACTCCATGCGGAAGACCGAGCCCGCTGATGATAATGGACAGGCGGATGACCACCTGGCAGGGCTTCGTGCGAAGGCTGACGCGCTGGAGGAGGCCCTCGGTGTGCTCAGGAAGTGCAACACGCTCGGCGAGTCCCACGCCCAGTCCCAGATGGCGACCGAGCTGGCGTCGGTGCGCAAGGCCATCATCGAGCGCACGCCCGCGCCCTCCAGGCACACCACGCTCGGCCATAAGCTCGTGCGCTCCCAGCAGAAGTTGGCCAGGCTGCAGCTTCAGGAAGAGGCTCTCGAGATTGAGAAGGAAGTGTGGCGCGCTCAAGCGAATTCGCCCATGTCTGCACCCTCTCCACAGGTCTGAAGGTACCGTTGCTGCGGGGGCTGGCATGATCTGTCGTGCCTCGGCCAAGTGTGTGCTGCTCACGGCAGCGGCGCCGGGTCCAGCCTCCTCGCCCTCCTCTCGCACAGGGCTTACCTCGACTCCTGGGATTCTGGCCCTGGCGGAGAGGATTCGTCAACGCGAGGAGGCCGCCAGAGTTACTGGTTCGGCCTGAGGCCACGTGCTGATGTTCTGCCTCGGGGTCCTCGAGGAGAACTCCCCCTTATCCCCTTCCTCCTCCTCCTCCTCCTCCTCCTCCTCCTCCTCCTCCTCCTCCTCCTCCTCCTCCTCCTCCTCTTCGCACCCTGCTCATCCGTTGGATCAAGCTGTCTGGGATGTTTTCCCCCGTCGGATGCTGGGTTCTTGACGGGCGCTCTGGGCTTCGGCTGCCCCTCCCTCCTCTACATAGCGTTTCTCCCCTTCCGACTGATCTCTGCTTCCCCTATTTTAGATGTTCTTCGTTTCTCCGCAGGCCAGGGCACATATCTGTCTGGGGTCTCCACGGGCACCGCTTACTCCAGCACCGTTCCTTTGAATTCCGCTTACATACGCTCCGCCCTGATCCTGCTGAGTCCTGGGCGAAGCCCGGTCTGATCCCGCTTGCTGGCCCCTCTCATCGCGTCTCGCAGCCCTGAGCTTCTCTTACACAGGCCTCCCAGGAGCTGCCACCCAAACGAAGCCTACACGCCTTGCCCTGCGCAGCGCGCAGGGTGCTGCGAGCAGCGGGCGCCTCCAGAGCGAGGGCGTCCCCGCAAGCCTGGCTGCCCGGGATCCGGGTCGCTCTGCTGGGCCCTCTCTTGCCAGGTGCCCCAGTGGTATGGGGGCCACGTGCGAACCCCAACCCTACCCCCCAAGGTTTCTGAGGGGGAGGGTGGGGTTCACTTCGCTCGGAAGCTCCCGAACGAGGTGAACCCCACTCTACCCCACACAGAAATCGCGGGGGGTAGGGGTAGGGTTCGCATGTGGCCCCCTACCACGGCGCCTGCGGCCAATATGCTGAGACGAAGACCGCTTTGGGCTCCAGAGGGGCTCCGACTTCCGGGGCGCTCCTCAGACCTGGGTCGGGGAACTTGTTCGTGCCCGAGGCTCGCAGTGGCCAGATGAGCGTCTGCGCTTCGTCTCGAGGAGGTCTACTCCCTTCCGACGGCCCCCAGGGAACTCGAGGTGGATAGACCTCCTACCCTGACACGTCGATTGAGGAATTGGCCGTTTTCGCTCCGCGAGAGGGCGTCGCCGCCGCCATTTTTGCGCGTCCAGGTCCGTCGGTTTCGGTCCGAGGCCGGTTTCACTAAGGGGAGGTTTGCTAAAGGGAGGTTTGTCCACCGCCGAGGAACGGAAGAGTCCGCAGGCGAGGCCATCTGGGGCCTCTTGGGCACCGTCTGGGGCCCCTTCTGGGTCGAACGGGGGCCACTTCGGGCCTCTTGGCAGTCCTCTTGGGCCGTCCTCTCGGGCCGTCTGGGGGCGCTCTCGGGGGCTTCCCGGGCCGTCTTGCAGCGATCTTGGGGGCTTCTCTTGAGCCGTCATGGACGCTTCCAAGGCCCAAATATTGTATGTTTCAAAAGACATGCGTCTTCCCAACGGATTGGGACGTGCTTCTTCTTCTTTGGGGGCCCTGTTTGGGGGGCCGTCTTGGAGGCCTCCGGGGTAGTCTTGAGGCCCTCTTGGTCGTCTTTGGGGACTCCTCGGCGTGTTGGGGCCAGCTTGAGCTGCCTTGGGTGGCATCTCTTGGCATCTTGGAGGCCACCAGGGTGCAGGTTTCGAGGCTCCCGAGGCCCCAGGGGTGCGTTGATGAGCCCGGGGCCCCCCCTCTCCGATGAACCCGGGAACGCCCCTCTAATCGGATGTTCGACCCTCGGGGAAGGGAAAGAGGAAGGGGGATAGCCAATTATCTCAGATGCGTTCTCGCCTTCGTGCCTTGTTTCCGTGTTCAGCCGTCCTTCGAGTAGGACGACGATTACAGCGCGAGACTTCCATCAGGTTTTCTCACGAGACGCCGCGCACCATTGGCGCGGGCGCTTGAGCGATCTCACTGCTCTCGTCTGTTGGGCCCCTCCGCGATGTGGCAAGCAGTGGGCGCTCGTTCTGAATGGTCCAGGTTCTGTCTGGTCGCGCGACGGCATTTGGAGAAACACGCAATTGCGGTCAGGATGTTTGGCTTAATTTGTCGCGTCGCCAGTTCTGGCCCACCACTTCTTCGGCGCGACACGCTATCCACGCCCGGGTCCCCAAGCGTCAACGTCCCGAGCCTTTCCCAGCCCCCCCGAACCGCAGAGCGGGACGACGCGCTATCCGCTTCCAAAGCAGACCGTGTCGCCGGGCCGCCGCCACGACACGCTAAGCCAAAGTTCCTGACCGTATTTCCAAATGATCTCGATCGCATTTTGCTGGAAGCACCAGTTATTCCAACAGTGAGTGCTTCGCCTGGAGGTGTGCCGCAGATTGAGCCAATTTATGAACGTTGGAGGGCACCTGTGTGGCCTGAGTGGCTGCGGAGGCACATCACCTCGCCCCCTGACATGTCTGAGTCTCCGCAAAACCAGAGGGGCGCGATGGATTTGGGTCAGGTGTGTGTGTGTGTGTGAGAAAGAGAGAGAGAGAGAGAGAGAGAGAGAGAGAGCTGGACGGTATGATGGTATTGTATAGGCTGGGGGAGCGAGGGAGATTGGGAGCTGGAGAGGCTGGAGAAGCCCAGGACGGTTGAAGACACTCGAGAGACTGGGCGGATTTCGGAATCCGAATATGGAGATGTTGGTGATGTGGTAGAAGTTTGAGAGACGCGTCCAGCATGCGAATCAACACAGCAGCGCGGAGACAATCCTGCACCAATTGATATCAGCTCTACAGTAATTGATGGCTGGGGGCAGGTGTCATCAAGACTATCTCTGTACTATGTTGTTTCATGGGGCGTGGGTGGTATCTGTTCACCCCTTTCGAGGCCGCTTCTTCACGTGTCCTGGTGACTGGAAGAGCATGGCCAACGAGATCACCCGTGTTGCGGCCGACACCGAGGCATCGCAGGGGCTGGAGGATCCAAAGGGATGACATGCTTTCTGAGCCGAACGGGGCCTTAGGCAAAGGGGTCCTGCAACCCCTGGGTTTTCCCGAGTATCGTATTCCCATCCCGAGCCGTTTCTTGAGGGCCGCTGGGGCATGGGGAAGGCCCATCACGAGAACGCTCAGGACCCCTTTCCCCAACGACCTCTGTTTTTCTCACGGCGAGGGGTGGAGGTGGCAAGTTTGACTTCTGCCCCTGATCCTGACACAGGATGTCCCTGCAGGTCCCTGTCGAAGGCCGGAAGCGACCCAGAGATCCGAGCAGTTGTGTGTGTGTGTGCGCAGCACGAGAGAAGCTGGGGCCCTTTCCCCAGGGCGGGCTCTTCCTCCCGAGTCGCTCTGTGACGGCCCCCGGGCCCAGCGATGGCCCCCAGAGGCCGAGAACGGCGAACAGAGACCTCCATCTGCCTGGCAGTCCACCGTCTGCGGCCGCCTCTCCTCCCGCGCGCCCTCTCCCGCAGCCGGGGCACCAGTCGGTCGTTCGCCGCGTGCCCCCTCGACGCCTCGAGCGCCCGTGCAGGCCGTCCCTGCCGTGCTGCGACGCCGCAAGGCTGCTCACTGTCTCGGGGATCTGCAGGGGCCCCGACCGATGCTGCAGGCAGGGCTCGTCTCGATGCCTCCGCTTCGATTCGATTCGTCCTCGATGGCCTCCGCTTCCGCTTCGATTCGACTGGGGATTCCGATCCGGGCCTCGACCTCTCTCCTTGGAGGCACACACCGGCCTGTCGACCTCCGCCGATCCCACCACTGTGCCCGACTCGGCCGCCGATCTGTCCGCCGACCCGATGCAGGTCGCTCGCCGATCCGAGTTTTATCGATCCGATTCTGGGCTCCCCTGGCTGCAGGGCCCTGCCACCCTGCAGGGCTCTGCTCCTCCTCCTCCTCCTCCTCCTCCTCCTCCTCCTCCTCCTCCTCCTCCTGCTTCTCCTCCTCCTGCTTCTCCTCCTCCTCTCCTCCTCCTTCCTCCTCCTCCTCATCCTCCTCCTCCTCCTCCTCCCTCTCCTCTCCCCCCCTTCCCCCCTCCTCTCCCTCTCCCCTCCTCCTCCTCCCCACCTCACTCCTCCTCCTCTCTCTCCCTACCCTCCTCCTCCCTCCTCTCCTCCTTCCTCCTCCCTCCTCCTCCTCCTCCTGTTTCTGCTCCTCCGCCTCCTCCTCGTCCTCCTCCTCCTCCCTCTTCTGCTCCTCTCTTCCCTCCATCACCCTCCTCCTCCTCCTCTTTCCTACTGTCCTCTTTCAAACTCCTATCCTCCTCCTCCTCACTTCCTCTCCTCTCTCCTCCTTCCTCCTCCTCTCCTCCTCAATCCTCCTCCCCCTCTCCTCCTCCTCCTGCTTCTCCCCCTCCTCCTCCTCCTCTCTCCTCCTTCCTCCTCCTCTCCCTGCTTCTCCTCCTCCTCCTCCCTACTCCTCCTCCTCTCCTCCTTCTCTCCTCCTCTCCTGTCCTGCTCCTCGCCTCCTCCTCGTCTCATCTCCTCCTTCTGCTCGTCCTCCTCCTCCTCTTCCCTTCTCCTCCTGCTCCATTTCTCCTCCTCCTCCTCCCTCCTCTCCTCCTCCGCCTCCTTTTCCCTCCTCCTCAGCTCCTCCTCCTCCTCCTCCTCCTCCTCCTCCTCCTCCTCCTCCTCCTCCTCCTCCGCCTCCTCCAGGCAGGGCCCTGCAGGGCCCGGGGCGCCACGCCGCCGCGCGGCCTCCCGCCCCCCCCCGCCGAGCGCTCGGGAGCTCGGCCGCCCGTGGGCGGCGGCGGGCGTTGTGGCCGCCTCCCTCGGCGGGGGGCGCGGCGGCTTTCGGCCTCGTCGGCGGGCCACACGGGGCCAGGCAGGATCGCGCCGTGTTCGCGGTTTTTCGCCCCTGGGCGGGCGAGGGCCACGGGGCCAGGCAGGGTCGCGCGACAAAAGAAACGACGGAGGCTCTTCGCGGTGTGTTCGGGCTCTTGGACTGCGGGGGGGCGGGTGCGCTGACAAAAAGCAGGGTGTCGCGTGTCGTATAGCGGGGGGGGGCACGGCGAGGAGGGCCGGGCGCTGCGTTTTTCTTGTTTCCCCCTCAGGATCGCGCCGTGCTCCCAATCCCTTATTTATCGATCCCCCCCTAAACAACTGGGCCCCCCTCCAAAGGCGACCTCATATTCCGGACCCCCTCGTCGATGGGGCGCCTTCATAAACCGGACCCCCCAAGCTCCAATCCAAAGAAAGCGCCCCCATAAACCAGACCCCCAGTTACAAAAAAGGCGTTTTGAAAACTGGACCTGGGCCGGGGACGATTAATACGGGATTTGAAGTAAGACAAAACAGAAAGAACAACCAACAATAATGACGGAGGTTCTTTTCTGTGTTTTCGGCCTCTTTGGACGTCGGGGGCCGCGCGCTGTCAAAAAGCAGGGCGTCGCGTGTCTGGCGGGGGGCGAGGGGGCGTTGACGAGGAGAGCTGGGCGCTGCGGCTTCTTTGCTCACGCCGGGCGTTCCCCCCAGTCTGTGAGGGTGTTGTTGCCCTCTGGGCCGAAGCGCTCGGCATGACCCCCCCCTCCTCCCCTCCCCCCCCAACCCATCAGCGCAACGCTCCTCCCCCTCCCCCTTAGTGCGTCCCCTGCACTGCCGCAGTGCGTCTGGCACCACAGTCTGTGGTGCCAGATCCACACGACGGGAGGGGGGGTACGTGATGCCCCCCCCCTCCGCCATCGCCCCCCCCCGCCCCCCTCCTAACGCCCGTTATCGTCGCGAATAAATAAGCCTTCTTTCGGATCCGGAGATCATCACATATCAATATGGCTCGAAACATGCAACAGAAAGATAGGGTCTAGGACTCTGGCTGATATTGTTTGTGATGTTGGCTTTTTACGCAACGTCGGATCTCAAGGGAGGGGGAGGATGCGGATGGGGTCGGGGCCCAGGGATCCGACACGTTGAGGTCTTCAACCTGGGGTCCCCAGAAGTCCTGACCACTTCCCCAGGGCTGGCTTCTCATCTTGAGTCGTTTTTGACGCTCCCGGGGCCCAGCGATGGCCCCATGCTGTTGGAAACAGCGGGAAGTCTCCGTCTCGATTTTTGCTCCAGCGCCTTTCTGCGATCCTCGGCTGGCCCCAGGACCGTCAAACACTGACTCGGGATGAAAAATCGGCCCCGGAGAATCAGTCGGGACATCCGGGGACCCCACATTGAAGAAATCATTAGCCGCCTTCCCTGGGCCCTCACTGAGCCCAGGGGGCAGGCAGAAGACGACTCGGGACGAGAAGCCGTGGGAACGGGTCCAGAGCTCGATCCGGGTGGAGGGGCACGCTGTGAAAACCGCGCCTGCCACGCGCCAGCCGAGAGACCCTGGAGTCGTAATTTTCTCACGCCTGGCGTTGTCGGTTCGATGACTGACCCCGAGGGGCCCTCGCGGGTCGAGCCATCCTGAGGTGTACCGCAGATTGATGGTGTGTGTTTGTGGCTCTCTGGGTGGTGACCACCCAAGATCGCTGCATGTCTTCGCGACGTCGCATCTCGGGACCGCCTCCCCAGACATCCGTCGCCTCGGACAGATCGGGTCGGCCAGTCTTCCATCTTTGGCCTCATGGAGGTCAGCAGTCGCTGGGACGCGATCGCTGCGACGGCTGGCTGGGACCGCCTCCCCAGACATCCGTCGCCTCGAACAGATCGGGCCGACCAGTCTTCCGTCTTTGGCCTCGTGGGGGTCGACTTCGGTCGAAGAGCTGGCCAGGCATGGGGAGGGGGGGTCGAGCGTGCCCCCGGCGGGGCCCGCGCGTGTGCACACCAGGTCGCGGTCGACCCCGCGGCGGTGCGGCAGTTCAACAAGACGAAGTCGACGAAGTCCCACCGCTCGGTCGAAGGCGCGGCGCCCGGCCGCCCGCCCCCGGAGAGCAGCAGCGGTCAGGCACCCGGAGGCCATGGCACGGGTGCTAAAGGAGGAGGAGGAGGAGGAGGAGGAGGAGGAGGAGGAGGGGGGCCACATGCGAGCCCCACCCCTACCCCCCACGATTTCTGAGGGGGGAGGGTGGGGGTCGTTTTGCTCGAGGGCTCCCGAACGAAGTGAACCCCACCCTCCCCCTCAGAAATCGTGGGGGGTAGGGGTAGGGTTCGCATGTGGCCCCCTACACATGTTTCAGCGCCCGTGCACTTTTTGTTTGCTGCGCTGCAGGATTGGGGCTTGCGTCCGGGCTTATAAGGGGGGGCTCGCAGGTTTTCAGGGCCCGCGTCCTGGCTCACCTTGGCAGCGTTGCAGTGCAGCATGTCGTTGATGCCGCCGTCCGGCAAAAGTTGCTTCCGAAGGATGCTGGGTGTCCGGGTCCGGCGTGTCCGGGCTTACGGGGCCCTGCAGCAGGCGTCCCGCCAGGCCTGCTCCCCCCGTCGGGGCACCGCCGTGGGGCACGAGGCAACGGCTGGCGCGTCCACTGCCCGCTTGAACTAACTGTAGATCCGCGCGAGGGGCCGAACGGTCTTGCACGATGCCCGGCTTCGTGGCTGGAGTGGGGGGTTCCGCGGCGAGGATTCGCGCCGCTGTCGTGCCTCGGTGTTGCGTTGTGGCTGCCCTGCTGCCCTGTTGCCGCCGCCCTGCCCGAGGCCCAGTTCGCGACCCACCCGCGACCCCCTCGCGACCCACCCACGTTGATTTTGGAGGAAACATCGACGCCTGCGGCGGGCTCGGCGCCTGCGGCGGGCTTCTTCAAACTTTCTTGCTGGCCTCGCAGACTGGCGACGACCCCCCGTTGCCCCCTCACTCTCATCCGCGAGTGCGGGGTCTATAGGTATTGCCGTTTTCCGATTATGGTTCTGCGATCATCGGCTGGCAGGCGTGGTTCCAGCGTGTCAAGAGACTTGCGCATGTGAGGGTCTCGTAAGACGGGTCCATGGTGCAAGTCAGGTGCTGATATCTGTCCAGGCTCCTCGCGATCCAACAGGCGGAGGCCACACCCACCGACTCTGTGAGGATTTGAAGCTGCGGTAAACCCTTGGCTCTTGCAGCGGTTGTTTCGTTACCCTGTGAGGTTCCCAACCCATGTGCACCAAGTGACAAGAGGAGTTGGGCAGCGACACTGTCGGCGCCGTCATTTTGCTGTGTGGCAGGCGCGCGCGTTGAACGACTCAATGGACAGCAACAAGAGGACGAGGACTGAGACTCCAGGCTCGAAGAGGAACTGGGGGTGGGAACTTGGTGCAGGAGAACAAAGCGAAGGGAGCCGAAAATTCATCGCGGCAGCGGCAGGGAGACGGTGGAAGGAAGAGAGGATGACAACGAAAGAGGCGGGATGTGAAAGAAGCGTGGGGCTCCAAACGACCAGGTCTTGATAGTTGGTGCAAGCAGCGAGCGAGGCCTAGCTCGCCCGACGGTTTCGCAGATTGCAGCTTGGGCCGTCTTGGGCAGGACGAATCCCAAAGAGATATTAACCTGGGCTTATAATGTTCTGGGATTATTGACCAGGGTTCATAATGTTCCCCCCGAACATTATGAATCTGGATTCTAATGTTCCGGGATCATTGGCCAGGGTTGGTGATGTCCTCCCCAGCACATTATGAACCCGGGTTTAAACGTTCTGGGAATATTGATTGGGGTTCATAATGTTCCCCCCGGAACATTATAAACCCGGGTTCATATCTTTGTGCGGCGATCGACCCCAAAAATATATTAATCAGGGTTTATAATGTTCCGGGGATATTGACTGGGGCTCATAATGTACCGGGAATAATGAACCCGGTTCATGTAATTCCAGAATGATAGTAATTATCCTTTTCCCCCCAACCCCCGGGTGTCTCACCAGGTTTTTCATGTCGGCATATTGACCCCGGCTTATTATCTCCATAAGATAACAAACCCGGTTTATGATGTTCCCGGAATATTGATTCTGGGTTCATTATTCTGGAAAGATAACCATTCAGCCGGGGGGGCGCTGTTGGAGAGTACGCTCCGGACTGAAATAAACTTTGGTCCATAATGTTGGAATAATAATCTTAGGTTGACTATTCCGGAAAGATAATGATTCAGCCAGGGGGGGTGAGCCCGACCCATCCACAGAACAGTAATCCATAGGGTATCTTGTCAAGATAATAAACCTAGGTTTATCATTCTTTGATAATGGACCACGGTCGACGAGGATTTCGCAGGTGCCCTCGTCTTGGGGCTCTCCTGGAGTCCTCTTGGGGCGGTCTTGTGGGCCTCTGAGGCCGTCTTGGAGCGTCGGAAAGCCGAAAAGGCGAGAAGGCCAAAATCCTCTTACGTAAACAAAATGAATGGGACATCACCGATTTTAGCTTCTCGGGCCCCTCGTGGGAGGCCTCTTGGATGCCTCCTGGGGCGTCCGGGCCGCCTCTCGGGCCGACGGAGGGCCATCTCGGGCGTCCTGGGCCGATCTCTCCGCGATTCGAGGCCGTCTTGGAGGCCGTCCTGGAGGCCGGAGGAGGAGGAGGAGGAGGAGGAGGAGCAGGAGCAGGAGGAGGAGGAGGAGGAGGAGGAGGAGGAGGAGGAGGAGGAGCGGAGGAGGAGCCCTCTTGGGGCCAGTCTCTGGGGCCCCCCTTGCGGGCCCGACGAAAAGTCCCGCGGCGAGGCGCGATTTGGGGCGCCCGCACTCGTCGGGCCCCGACGGATGTGTGAGGCTTCGGGCTCCGGCCTCCCTGGGAGGCTCCTGGGGGGTGGGGGCTGAACCGGGGGCCCCCAGACGGTGTGGTGGCCACACCGCGTGGTGAGTCGGTGGGGATTCGGGGTCCCCGCACGGTTGTGGGGCTCGGGCCGTTCTCCGAGCACGTCTCGGGAGAAAACCGGGGCCTCCAGGGCCCCAGGACCGTGCGGTGACGGGCCGTGCTCGTGCGCTGACACACCGCGCACAGAAGACTCCCGAGCAATGGGGGCTGAAGCTCGGGGGAACTTCGGGACCTCGCAAGGGGGGGGGGCCACAGGGGGTGGGGGGAGTTCGGTCCGTGGGCGCAGCGAGCCGCAGAAAGACGGTGCAGAGCCAGGTCTCCGGCCGCCGCCGGAGCCCGAGAGGCGTCGAGCATCGGGGCGCGCGGGGGGCATCGTTTCTCGGACATTCGATGCACCAGCGGATCGAACTCCCCCCTCCCCTCTCAGGGTCCTCCTTACTTTGGTGTGCCCCGAGAGTTGGCAAAGGACCTGAGGACGCGCCCACCCCGTGCCCAGAGGTACGGTGGCGGTCGCAATTATGCGTAAGCAGGCAGGGCTTCCCAATTTCCAGTTGCACGCAGATTGCCAGCCGACGATCGTCGGGATCCCGCAAAGAGGGTGTGTGCCCTGCTGTGTGTGTGCGTGTGTGTGTGCGTGTGTGTGTGTGAGAGAGAGAGAGAGAGAGAAAGTTCGATCGTTTTTTGCACCGAACCGCCCAAAACAGATGCCACCCAGCCGCCAGCAGCTCCCGATAGTTGCCGATGGGTGGGGCATGCGGGGGCATCTGTTTGCGGCAGTTCGGTGCACCAGCGGATCGAATTCATGCACCCCCTCAGGGTCACCCCCTCTTTGGTGGATCTCGAGGCTGATCCTTTGGCCAAGGATCCCGGGCCCTGGAGCTCTAGCTTCTTTCAAGCCTGAGGACCCCGAGGTCTTCAAGACCGTGCTTCACGCGACTTCGAGAGCGGCATCGATGCTGGCCGATTATTCCGCCGGGAGAGAGAGAGGCCAACGACGCCGCTGGCAAGTTTGCGAAAGCTGGGGTTGACAGGCGTGGTGTTGGTGTCACCTCCGATCACGCCCATCTTTTTCGAAGCGTGGGGAGCCCCGCGATGGAGGCTGGCACCTGGGCGGCTTCGCTCGATGTGGAGCTGGCCTCCGGCGAACAAAGAGATGCTGCAGGGTTGGCGGCGCGGGACTCGCGGGCAGGAGGGCCCACCTTGCCCGAGGGTAGCGCGCCAGAGGCGGAGGAGCGGGCCCTGTGCGCTGACGCAGGGCCGCCCGACGGGCCCGCGGAGGTGTGGGGGGAGGGGACGACTTGGACGGGGACTGAGGTGTGCACGCTCAGTATGTGTACCTCGCCACCCACCAGACCACGCCAGCCCAACCCGAAGGCCCCAATCTACGCTCCATGGGTCCATTCCCAGTGGGGGGGGCGCCAGGGAGCACTGCAAACACACATATGGAACCCGTGCACCCCCCCCCAACACGAAATTGTTGTCGCTTCGCGAATCCCCACCAGCCCATCCAGAAACGATGCCCAGAGGAATTGCCTCGATCAGAGAAGTGGGCAGCACACAGAGGAAGCCATTATGAGACATCTTGGGATATCTTGAGCCATCTTGGAGGTCATTTTGGGCTCTCCCAGACGCTCTTGGAGTCATCTTAATCCGTGCCCCCCCCCAAGAGGCCTCCATGTGGCTAAAACCTGTGTAGAATCAATGATTAGGCATTCTCGCCGAGGCCTCTTGGAGCATCTTGGGTGCATCTGGGGGGGCTCTTGGGGCCTCTTGGGGGTCTCTTGGGGGCCTCCGGGGGGCCTCTTGGGGGCCTCTTGGGGCCATTTTGGGGCCATGTTGGGACCTCTTGGGGCTTCCTGGGCGCTTCTTGGGGCCATCTTGGAGGGAGTCGATCAAACAAGAGGGGGGGGTGAATTAGCGCCCCCCCTCGGAAGCCCCTAAAATCGCCTCTTGGACCCCTCTTGGAACGCTCTTGGAGTGCTCTTGGGCGCTCTTGGGGCCGTCTTGGGGCTCTTTTGGGGCTCTCTTGGGGCCCTCTTGGGCCATCTTGGAACCATCTCCAGGCCTCGGATGGCCATCGGAAGCGAAAAGGCGAGAAAGCAAAAATCATTGATTTTCCTTAGGTTTTGGGACGATTTTGGCCTCTTCGGGGCCTCCTTGGGGAGCTGTTTGGCCACTTGGAGTTATCTTGGGGCCGTCTTTGGGCTTCTTGGAACCATCTTAGGAGCCATCTCGAGCGATCTTGCGCTATCTTGAGCCATCTTGGAGCTCATCTTGGGTTCTCTGAGGCGCTCTTGGAGCCGTCTTGGGCCATCTGGGACGCTCTAACTACCCGCGGCCCCCCCCGTCCAGGTCCAGGGGAGGGGGTAGGGGGAGGGGTAAACCCCTCCCCAAGGGGGAAGAGGGAGGGGTGGAAGAGGATCTGCTCTAGACCACCTACGCCCAGAGGGCTGGTGGGATTTGGGCCTTCGGGCTGGGTGATGGTGGCTTGGTAAGCAGTCGGTGCCAGGTTGAAGAGCATGCGCTCCTTGCGGCTCGGGCCAGGGACTCCCCAGGAGAGACCCCGTCGGCAGGCGCGGTGCTTCTGCTGCAGGCGCGGTGCTGCCTCGGGCGGAGGTGCGGCCGGCGAGCCCCTGAAGGAGCCCTGCAGATGCCTCAAAGGAGGGCACGGTGAAGTCGGGCATGTCCCTCTACAGGGGGAATCTTCAAAAATAGTAAGACATAGTTTGGGGACGATCTGTCTATCATTGTTTAGCTATTCTTGGCATTTTTGAGTATGGCTTATTTCTCGTTCAACATCCGCCTGTAGGGGGGCATGCCCGACCTACGGGTGCGGGGGGGGTGGCCGACCAGCTCAGGGGAGTGATGCAGTTGAAGTGTTCCCCTCTGAGGAGAAGCGAAGCCGGGAACTCCCCCTCAGGCCCCCGAGGGGCCTCGACCTCGCCGAGCGCCGGGACCTCGTCGAGACGCTGGGGGGGCGCGCCCGTGGTCCCTGGGGCCACAGGGGGCTGGCTCCCCAGTCTGGGGGCACGCGAGGGAGGCGGCTGTGCCCCGCGCGAGCAGGTGTTGTCTCAGTTCGGTTTGGCCGAAGAGGATCTCCCTTGGGCGAGGGCTCGGAGGGGAGGCCTCGACGCGGGCCCAGCGTCCCTGGGAGGGAAGTCGCACTCGGCCGCGCCAGGCTGCGCCTGATCGGATCATGGGTTGCCTGCCTGTCGGCCCGTCCCGGACAACCTCCTCGTCCTCGTCCTCCCCCTCCTCCTCCTCCTCCTCCTCCTCCTCCTCCTCCTCCTCCTCCTCCTCCACTTCCTCCTCCTCCTCCTCCTCCTCCTCCACTTTCTTCTCCTCCTCCACCTCCTCCTGCTCCTTCTCCTCCTCCTCCTCCTCTTCCTCCTCCACTTTCTTCTCCTCCTCCACTTTTTCCTGTTTCTCCTCCTCCTCCTCCTCCTCCTCCTCCTCCACTTTCTCCTCTTCCTCCTCCTCCTCCTCCTCCTCCTCCTCCTCCTCCTCCACGGCCTTCCGCGCCGCGAGGCGCCGCGGCCGCGCCGCCGGGGGGCCAGGCATCCGACGGCGAGGCTCGGCCCGCGGCGGCCCCACCTGCACGCCTCTCGTGGTCGTCGTGGTCGTTGTGGTCGTCGTGGTGGTCGTCGTCGTCGTCGACGTCGTCGTCGTCGTGGTCGTCGTCGTGGTCGTCGTCGTCGTCGACGTGATCGTCGTCGTCGTCGTCGTCGTGGCCTGCGGCCCAGCGTTCGGCGTCGTCGCCGCCACCGTCGTCATGCTCCTGGTCCTCCGCCTCCCCCTCCTCGTCCTTGTCCTCGTCCGCTCCCCTCGTCCTCGGCCTACCTCCTCCTCCTCCTCCTCGTCCTCGGCCTACCTCCTCCTCCTCCTCCTCCTCCTCCTCGTCCTACCTCCTCCTGTTCGTCCTCCTCCTCCTTCTCCTCCTCCTCGTTCTCTTGCTGCTCCTCCTTCTTTTCTTCCTCTGCGCCGCCGGGCGCACTCCTCGATACCTGGGCGCCTGCGGTGCGCTGGGAGGCGCTTGGGCAATCAGGTACATGAGCCAGCTACGTGAGCCGGTAGAGGGAAACAATTACCGAATGCTCCCCCGCCCCCCAATACTCAAAGTTGGCATGCGCGGGGGAGACTGCGGTCGAGGTGCAACTCATCAGACCCACCGCCAAGTTTGAACATTGCGGGGAGGGGGAGACGTTGACAGATGAATGTGGCATGAGTGTTCGTTTTTTTCCAAAGGCCTGGCTCACTCCCTCCCTCCCGGGAAAGTCCAAAGTCCTCAATACCGATGTCGTCGTCGCGTCGGCCGCCGCGGCCGCCGTCGTCGTCGTCGCCGTCGTCGTCGTCGTCATTATCATCGTCGCCGTCGTCGCCTTTGCCGTCGCCGTCGTCGCCTTTGCCGTCGCCGTCGCCGTCGCCGTCGTCGCCATACGTATCCACTGGAAGTCCAGGTCCTGGGAATGTCAATATCCGCTGCCTCCTGGGGTCCTGGGGCATCGGTTCCACAGGTGATTGATATGAAAAGACATGAGCACATTCTTTCTTCTGACCTTCGTTGCCGCCGCCCTCGTCGTCGTCGTCGTCGTCGTCGTCGCCGGATCGAGTCTCGAGGCCTGGGTCTCTTTGGAGCCGTGGGGCTCGGGAAGGCATCCAGAGGCGTTCGGGGACCTCCGGAGATTCCTGGAGGTCCATCGCCGCTGTCGTCTCCGTCGTCGTCGCCGCCACCGTCGTTGTCGTTGATCCACGTCGTCACTGCGGAGGCTTGGAGGCGCTCCTCCTGTGGATCTCGTCGCCACGGCAGGACGCAGCCCGAGAGACTGTCCAGGATGGGCCCCCCCTGGAAGGAGGGATTTGCCAGACTGACTGAGCGACTTGTGCCACCACCGCCATGGCCGCTGTCGTCGCCTTTGTGGCCCGTGGCCCTGCGCTCGCTGTCATCGCCGCCGTCGTCGTGCTCCTGATCCTCCGATTCGCCCTTCTTGTCCTTCGTCCTCCTACCTCATCCTCCTTGTCCGCACTCTCCCCCTCTCCGTTGGCGAATAATGGCAAAGAGGGGGAAGGCTAGTGTGATGACGAGGAGAAGCAGAATTGGTGGAAATAGCTGTGAAGGAGGAGGAGGAGGGTATTGATGTTGAAGAGGTAGATGAGGATGTGGCTTGGTGGGGGACGAGGGGGACGATTGTTCGGACGATGGGGAGGAGCATGATGATATTATGAAGATGAGGACTATGAGGTATGTGACGGTAAGTAGGGTGACGGTAGTGATGATGATGACGAGAATAGTAGTAGTCGCAGTAGTAGTTGTGGTGATGATTATTACGATGGTGGCTTTGCTGATTTTAGTGTTGTCGATGATAATGATGATGATATTGATGATGACGGTGATCGACGACGATGATGATGATGATGGTGATGGTGATGGTGATGGTGATGATGATTGTGAGGATGAGGATGATGGTGATGTTGGTGATGATGGTGATGACGGTGATGACGGTGATGATGATGCTGGCGATGATGATGACGATGGTGATGATGCTGCTGGTGACGATGATGCTGCTGCTGCGAGCTGTTGATGATGCTGAGTTCTGATGATGATGATGATGACGATGATGCTTATTATAATGCAAATGATGATACTGCTGATGTTGATGCTGGTTCTAGTGCTACTGTTACTGCTGCTGGTGATGATGATGGTGGTTGTGATTGTGATGACATTGATGCTGATGTTCACGATGATGCTGATGCTGGCGATGATGATATTCAGGATGATCTTGATCATGACCATGATCATGATTATGATGATGATGCTGATGATGATGATGGTGGTGATGATGGTGATGACGATGATGATGACGATGATGATGCTGATGATTATGACGATGATGATGATGATGCTGATGATGATGATGCTGATGATGATGATGACGATGATGATGATGATGATGATGATGATGATGATGATGATGATGATGAGGACGATGCTGATGCTGATGATGCTGATGATGACGGCGCGATATTGTGGAGGAGAGGAATGAGGAACTTGGGTATGAGATGCATGAGGAGGAGGAGCAGGTGCAGAAACAGGAGAAGGAGGGGAGGAGGAGGGGAGGAAGGAGGAGGAGGAGGACGAGGAGGAGGAGGAGGAGGAGGAGGAGGAGGAGGAGGATAGAGGAGGAGGAGGAGGAGGAGGAGGAGGAGGAGGCCAAGGCCGAGTCGAGCGCTGCCTCGCAGGATGTACTGGCGGCACAGGATGCAATTGAAGCTTTGATGGAACGTATGAGGATGGAGAGGGACTCCGAGAAGACGGAGAGCCAGCTCCTCCAGGCGCACAATTCTCGTCTGATAAGAGCTCAAAAGCAGCTGGAGACTCAGACTCAATACGTTGGGAAGCAGGAGCAGGCGTTGGCTGATTTGGACGTGCAGAGGGCCCTCATCGCAGCAGATATCCAGAGCGCGAAGGAGGCCCAGTCGGAGCTCGAGGAGAAGGTGATTCATCTTCAACGTACGGCTCCAGCGCGTCCAGCTGTCGACCCATATATGTCGCCGCCAGGCCTTATGACGCCTTTCATAACGCCTACGATGGGAGGCAAGGGGGCCATGATGGCGGCAGTGAGTGGCATGCAGTCCGCACATGATCTGTCAGGATATTTGAACGGCCTCAACTACCTGTCGCTCAACCTCGACCCGTCGCTTCGCCAGGCGCTGAACGAGCACATGGCGGTCTTCGCAGGCGCCGTGCGAGCTGAGGCGGGCATTCCAGCTCCTTCGCCGCCGCCGCATGAGGAAGCGGCCGAGGAGGCGCAGGCGGCTACCGCTGCCAGAGGAGGCTGTGAGGAGCAGGAGAAGGCGCTGTCAGAGTTGCATGAGCTGAACGGAGAGGACGCTGAGATGGAACAGGCAGCCCTGGCGGGCCGCAGATCAGCAGAGGCGGCGGAGCTCGCCAATGCACCCCCAGCGCGCCGTGCGCGCCAGGAGGGCCAGGAGGAGGCTGCTGCCACGGGCCTGGCCCCGTCTGGCCGGTAACACTCAGTGTGAGTATGAGAAGGGCGGCCAGCTCTTGGTCCAGACGGTGAATGCCAACTCCTGGACCAGCGCGGCCGCCTTCGTGATGGGCACCTCTGCCCATATAGTACTCGTTCAAGAACATAAGCTACATGGTCAGCCCCTGCTAGAAGCCAAGGAGCGTCTACGAAAGCAAGGGTGGAAAAGTTTTTGGGCTCCCTGTGAAGTCACCCAACGAGGTGGGAAAAGCGCTGGAGTTTGTATTTTGGCCAGGGCTCATCTGGATGTGTGGCAACCCCCTTCAGAGCCTGCGGCCCTGGTTGAGGCCCGAATCCTCTATTGCTACTTCAGAAGCAAGTCCTTGGGAGTGGTCTCGATTTATTGTAACTATTGGAAAGATGGGATCGGTCTGGGGGAACAGAATCTTCGACTAGCGGTTGCCTTGGGTAATGATATCACCAGGCGTAATTTACCTTACATCTCTGGCGGGGACCACAACTTAGAGCTTCATCTGTTCAGAGAAGGGCTTTCGCCGCATAGGTTGAACGGGCAGCTTGTCATTCCGAATCCCAGTCAGACGTGTTTGTCCAGCACGCCAGGTAGATGCTACGACTACTTTTTGATCAGCAAGAACTTGCTTGCTGGTGTTGAGTCGGCGAAGGCCGATATGCAGTCAGATTTATTCCCGCTCCGACCTGTCACTCTGAGGTTTAAGCAGGGGGTGGACACCATCATGCTCCAGAGGCTCTTGAAGTATCAGAAGCTCCCAGTGGATTTACCCATAGGTCCAGCTCCTCAGGCCCCGAGTTATGACAGCATCCTGGAGACTCTTGAGGACCTCATCTTGCCGTTCGAGAAGGATGGGGGTTTCAGGCTTCCTAGGGATGATGAGCGGGATAGGCTCCAACAAGGATTGGATGGGCAGTATGAGAGGTGGTGTGAGCAGTCTTGGGGAGAACTTCGGAACACGCTTCAGAGTTTTCCAGAAGGTCGGGCTGGAGGACTCCCCTATCAGACAGTAGAGGTTCCCATGGTCGAGCTCCTCTGCACCAAGCGCTCCCCGTCGAGAAGCCCGTATCGTGCTTTGAAGTGGTTGTCGCAGCGTTGCGCAGAGCTTTTGGCTTTTGTGGAGCAAGAGAAGTATCACACGCATAGGCAGTATTATGATGATCTTGTTCGTTCGAGTTATAAGGTTTCGAAAGCTGGCGGCATTTTCAAGTATCACTTTGCTGGAGGCCGTGAGTTTTGGTGTGGGGCCTTGGAGGCTGTGCTGATTCCTCTCTGGAACCCCTTGGAGATTGAGTCGGTCCTGCCTGCCCAAGCCTTAGCCGCGTTGAAAGCTCTGGCCGATCATTTTGCGATAGAACGTCTTTCTAGAGAGAGGGCCGATCGTTCGGCCAAGTGGAAGGATTGGTGCACTGAGGCGCTGGCAGGTGGAGCGAAGTGGGCTCACGCCTACACTAAGGCAGCGGATGCTCGAAAGCAAGACCTGCTGCCGACCGACGACGGCCATGTGACGTCGCGCCTCGCCGCCCAGCTCGCTCAGGAGAAGGAGAATTGGTCAGAAGCTTGGGGGGCCAACAAGAAAACTGCTGGAGGCCCACTGGAATGGCCTTCGCATAGTATTCCAGAGCCCCCGAGCCCCGAAGAGATCATTCTCATCTCCAAGAGCTTCAAGAGAACTACGATCGCAGCAGATGGGTACCATCCGAGGCATTATCAGTTTCTCTGCTCACAGGCCCTTTCGTGCCTCAGCTGTATTTTCTGTATTATGCTTATATTGGGGTCCACCCCTACTTGGATGCAGACCCTTGTGGTTGCGCTCTTCAGGAAACCTGTCTTGGGACGGAGGCCAATAGGCTTCTTCCAAACCTTGGTTCGGACATTGTCAAGATGGAACACCGGTGCGTGCAAGTCTTGGGAGAAAAGCATTTCGGATGGTGGTATCTTCAGTATGGCTCCTGGGCGGAGCCCGACAGATACGGTTTGGCGCCAGACTGTTCGAGGTGACCTTGCGTTTTCCAGGCGAGAGCACGTGCTCAGCCTGCTTGCCGACTTCAAGCAGTGCTATGAGCACGTGCAGCACCAGCAGCTGATCAATTCGGCGTTGGACTGGGCATTTCCGATGCATGTGCTCAGGTTTTCTATTCACACGTACGCGTGGCAGAGGATCCTGAGCCTAGACGGTATGTGCGCTGATGCAGTTATGCCAGCTCAGGGTATAGTAGCGGGAAGCAGCACGGCTACATACGAGATTAAATGTTACTGCCTTCCTACAGTAGCGGAATATTGCGAGTGTCGTCTGCATCCCGAACTTGCTGTGCATGTGGATGATTTTAGTCTCAATGAGAGGAACGAGGATTTGGAGCTTTGTGTGGTCAATATGGGTTTTGCTGTTGCTTTCTTGGTTGATCGGTTATCGAATTTATTTAACCTTCGTTTCTCTATGAATAAGTTCGCCATTACAGGAACCTCTCCAGAGCTGGTAGCTCAGGCCCGTCTAGCTCTAGATCAGTATGCTGGCACTTATGACCCGTCGATTGTCAACCTAGGATGCGACTTCGCGCCAGGTAAGCATTTGAGCGTCAGGAAAGCCAAGCAGAAGCGAAATGAGCGGTGGGCCAAAGGAAGGAGGAGGTTGGGGAAGATTCGAAGCCTTCGAAATCCCAAACGTGCCAGGGCGAACATATGGTTCTGTGGTGTTAAGCCTGCCACTACTTACGGGGAGGAGGTGGTGGGTTGGTCGCCGAGAGAGATTCGCAAATTACGAAGTCAGGCTGCTGGCTTTCTTGGATTGACATCCTGTGGAGCCGATTTAAATTTGGCACTTTCGCTGGAGCCGACTAGAGATCCTGTCAAGCATGTTGCTGCTACTCTTCGTCGTTTTGCTAAAGAAGTCTGGATGGCATCTACTCCTGGGCACCGCCATGGCGATGGGTTGTCTGTGGGGGAGCTTTCTAAGATTCTGTTTGTTGTCCAGAATTACATCCAGGAACACTCCAGAAGTTCATGGGCCAAGAAATCCTGGGGACCCATAGGAGACATGATTATCTGGCTCGGCATGGCGAACTGGCAGATTCGAGGCCCGCTCAGTTTTAACATGAGCAACGGGGACCCGCTGCCGTTGACAGATACGCCGTTCGTGCAGGTAGAGAAGTACTTCGTTCGAGATTTGTCTAAGGCCTACGTGGCCCAGAGTATGAGCAGGCACCTGAGGGACTCTGAACATCCGAGGGCTCTGGATATTTTGCATCGCGGGCTGCGGACGGACCCGCCGAGGTCCTTTTGGGCCAGCAAAAAGCGTCATCGTGGTGTTCAAAAAGCTGTCAAAGAGATATTTTGCAGGTCGTATGTCACGGCCAAGCGTTTACATGATTGGAAGTACGAGATCCCTCCAGTGTGCCCTTTTTGCAGACCCCCCGAGGGAGGAGCCGAGGACACTGTATGGCACCGCTGCTTTGTCTGTCCAGGTCTCTCTGGCAGGCGAGATGAGGCATTGAGTGTCGATGTGGTTCGGCTAGCTGTGGAAGCTGGCCCCGACGATCCTCTCTACTCCAGCCTGTGGGACGCCCAGCCCGAGGGGATTCAGGAGGCCTTGTGGGATGGAGTGGTTCGGTATTTCGACAGGTCGGGGGAAACAACCAAGTTCATGTTCAGCCGTTGCGAAAAACTGTACTCGGACGGTAGTTGCTACTCCCCCACCCATGTTTATGTGGCCCGTGCGGGCTGGGCCGTCATTCAAATAGACGACGCAGGGGACTTTGTAAGAGCTGTGTGTGGTAACCTGTCTGGTTTTCTGCCTCAGAGTGCTGTGTTCGCCGAGCACTACGCCTTGCTCCAGGCCCTGGAGCATTTTGAACACACTGTTGAGGACGAGCCGTTCAGGCTGAACGTGGGCTGCCAGGCCCTTTTTGCAGGCCCTCGAGACCAGAGGGCATCGACGAGCGGGAGAACACCGCTCAGTGAAGTCTGGAAAGTGCTCTACTCCTCGCCCCGCCCGCCTTTCGTGTTGAACAAGGTTAAATCGCATGTGGGGGAAGACGTTATTGGTGCGGCTCGAGTTCATAAGCGTGGAAACGATTACGCCGACGAGTATGCAAAGGACGGGGCCAAAATGCATCCTGAGATGGCCCAGAACATTGTCAAGTACGAGCTGGCTCTGAGTAGTTGGGAAGTCTTGGCAGTAGGCATGGGCCAAACTTTAGACAGCCTTCCAGAGGCCAGATCTCTTTTTGTTAAACTAGAGCGCGCCCCGAGAGTTCCCAGGCCTGTGGTCCTCCCCAGCGGCCTGAAGCCTCACCGTGTGCGCTGGAATGGGTGTCGGTGGCGGTGCCTTGCGTGCGCCCGTGCTTTTGATTCTAAGAATCCTAGGGGGTCCTGCGCGGCCTTAACCCCCTCAATGCGTTCGCTAATTAATCAGGTCGACAACCCCAAGCCCCACACACTGCATGTCGCCAAAATTGTTCAATCTTCTTTGCCTGTGGTGTTGTGCCTCAGGTGTGGGGCTTATTGTACTGGGGCTCCTCGTCAGCTGCTGAAGCCCTGTGGTAAAGTTTTTGCACAGCAGAGGAGACAGCTTCTGAGAGGCGACCTTCCCTGGCCGCGGGGACAGAATATCACAAGCCCTTGGCCACTCAGCCTCGCGCCTCATGAGGAGGCGGAGTGGTGGACCAAGCTCTTTTGATTGTGTTGTTGAATTGTCTTGGCGTGCTCGCCCTGTCGGGCGTGTTCTTTGGCCATTGCCTGTGGGCGGTGGCGGGGGCAGCCAGGCACCTGGGCCTCTGCCCTGCGCCTGCACGGCGGTCCTGGCCTTCGGGCTCCGCCCTGCAGGCGCGGTGTAGAGGTGGTCGGTGGTGTTTGGGGGCCCCTGTGCAGCCCCTTCGATCATAGATTGGTGGGAGCCAAGCGAGAGCCTCTGAACAAAAAGGAGGAGGAGGAGGAGGAGGAGGAGGAGGAGGAGGAGGAGGAGGAGGAGACGAAAACGAGCAGGAGGAGGAGGGCAGGAGGAGGAAGGAGGAGGAGGAGGAGGAGGAGGAGGAGGAGGAGGAGGAGGAGGAGGAGGGAGGAGGAGGAGGAGGAGGAGGAGAGGAGGAGGAGGAGGAGGAGGAGGAAGGAGGAGGAGGAGGAGGAGGAGGAGGAGGAGGAGGAGGAGGAGGAGGAGGAGGAGGAGGAGGAGGAGGAGGAGGAGGAGGAGGAGGAGGAGGAGGAGGAGGAGGAGGAGGAGGAGGAGGAGGAGGAGGAGAGGAGGAGGAGGAGGAGGAGGAGGAGGAGGAGGAGGAGGAGGAGGAGGAGGAGGAGAGGAGGAGGAGGAGGAGGAGGAGGAGGAGGAGGAGGAGAGGAGGAGGAGGAGGAGGAGGAGGAGGAGGAGGAGAGGAGGAGGAGGGGAGGAGGAGGAGGAGGAGGAGGAGGAGGAGGAGGAGGAAGAGGAGGAGGAGGAGGAGGAGGAGGGGAGGAGGGAAGGAGGAGGAGGAGGAGGAGGAGGAGGAAGAGGAGGATGAAGAGGAGGAGGAAGAGGAGGAGGAGCAGGAGGAGGAGAGGAGGAGGAGGGGAGGAGGAGGGGAGGCGCAGGAGGAGGGAGGAGGAAAAAGGGAGGAGGGAGGAGGAGGAGGCGGAGGAGGAGGAGGATAAGGATAGAGTGCACGAGCGTACCTCTGCGCCTCTGCGGATGCTCCTGTGGCTCTGCAGCGCCAGGCGCAGAAGGCCGCTGCCACCGAGTGCATGGCGTGCGGGGGCGCTGGGTGCAGCATGTGCCGGCCGACGCCGACGGTCAGAGAGGCTGGCAACAGGGGAGGGCTCTGGGAGGAGGAGGGGGAGCGGCATACATTGACACTCTCGAAATATCGGAGAAACGTAAGACTCGAGTGCGCCAGAACTCGGGTTTGTCAGCGCTTTCTGATGAGCCCGTCCCGGATTTGGTCGGTCCAGTATTCGTGGGGTGTTTGCAGCAGGATTTCGTGACAAATTTTAGGCTGGGTCTCGTCACTTTCCTGGCGGCCCCGTCAGGCCAACTCGAGTTCCCTGAACCCGAGTCCCACGTCTGCCTGAAGGGAGGGTTCCGGGAGGAGGAGGGAGAGAGGCATACATGGATGCTTCGAAGAAGAAACCTACACTTCTACAAGCATAAGCATGAACTTTCGGATATCCGCGCGGATTTCTTGGATTGGCGCTTGGCCACCTGGCGGGGCCTTCGGCGCCGATCAAAGAGATCCAGCGCGGACCTCCGAATTCTTCTGTTTATGTTTTTTTCTGCTGCTCCGTACTTTTCTAGGTTGTCTCTGCCTTTCTTGGACGCCAGTTGCTGCTGGCAAAACAATGTTTCTCTATACTCGCCACAGTCTGGTTCTGCGTCGAAGGAGCTAGGGGGGGATATCGACCTCGGGATGTCTGGCCTCGGTCCTGTGTTTGAGACGGGCCGGTTGAGTGTGAGCTTCGTGGAGCGCCGATCTGATCGGGACACTCTCCCGCCTGGTCGAGCCCCGTCTGCTGCTGCTCCTCTTCTTCCTCCTCTTTCTCCTTCCTCTCCTCCTCCTCCTCCTCCTCCTCCTCCTCCTCCTCCTCCTCCTCCCCCTCCTCCTCTCACCATACAGGAAAAACCAGTCCGGATAGAGAGAGAGAGAGAGATAGTTGCCCTTCCCCCTACCAATCCTGTGATGTTGGGTCCCCGTTTCGAATCAAGAGCCTCCCGCGTCCCTCACTCCTACCTCCCGCCTGCGTCCTCATCGTCCTCGTCATCACCATCATCATAAGCCATCAGCAGATCAGCATCAGCATCCGCATCCGCATCACCACCACCACCATCCTGCTGCTGGCGGCGGTCCCCAGCGCCGGGGCGACGGAGCCTCGGGCAGCGCATGCTTCATTATTCATGATTGTTGCTGCGTCGCCAGTCCACCGTCGCGATACGTGGTGTTTGGCTATCATCATCACCATCATCATCATCGTCATCATCACCAGTATCAGCAGCATTACCAGCATCATCAGCATGATCATGATGATGATGATGATCATCATCATCATCATCATCACCACCACCACCACCACCACCACCATCGCCATCATCAAGTACCTTGTCCCGCCCAAGTTCGCCGCTTCCTTCCCCACCGCCGACGCGGGCCCGCATGGCCCCTTCCTGGGCATGCCGAGCAGCTCGCCGCGCCCGCCATGCCTGATCGTTTTCGGGGGCCTGGAGGCGCTGGGATCGGCTCTGCAGGGCCGTTGCGCCACGCGCACCCGCCGAAGCCGCGATGTTTGGGAGGACGGGCCTGCTGCAGCGCTCGCGGGGGAGGTAGCATTTTTTGTGGATGGATCTCTCAAGCTCTCCGCCGCCTCTGGCAGTGTGCATTGCGAGCAGGAACGCAGCAGAGCCGCAGGAGCGCGCGGCATTGCCAGCGTGGCTCCGCACACTTACTTGACAAATGTTAGCGAGCAAGAACGCAGCAACGCTCCAGGAGAGCGAGGCATTCAGAGAGTAGCCCAACATTGACACGATGGTGGCCGGGAAGCTTGTGCACGACGTTGCTGGACATAGTGCGGTGCGGCACGGGCCCGCGCACCTGCCGTGCTGCGTGCACGTTGCTGGCGAGGAGCGTCGCTAGAAGCTGGATTATGGTATGCGGTTGTGCCCTCCGTGGGCGCTAGGCTCAGCCTTGCGCTTCGGCGGCAGTTTACGGGGACATGGAGGCCCTTGCTGCGTAGCCTCTCAGCCCAGACCACGCCGCCGCCAGCGTGCACGCCTTCCTCGGCGACCTGGGCATTCGGCCAGCTGATCTCCAGCGCGCGCGGGTGGCGTTGTTGTGGGCGTGCCGCGTCTCGGTCGAGGCCGTAGCGATCGCGGTGGCCGCTCGCGTCAGTCGCCTGGTCGTCGGCCCTCACCCCGACGCGGTTGGCTGCCCGGGATCGTTGCGCGTTGTCTGTCGCAGGTGTCCCCTGGATGCGTCGATATCACGGCGATGACCTGGCTCGAGTGAGGCTGGCCCCTGGGCGGCCGAGCTCCCGATCCAGGCGGCATTCGGCTTCCACGCCGAGGCCAACCGCGTCCTCGCTGCCCTCGCGGCCGCCCGCCGCTGGGCACGCTTGCCCGCGGCGCGCCAGGCGCGGCTGCAGGCGGGGGTCTTGGCGCCGGCGCCTTTTGGAACGGCTTCATGCGGGAAGGCGATCTCGCGCTTTACGACGCCTCCTTCGTGGTCATTTTCGCGCTTTACGACGTCCTTCGCCGTCTCTTGCTGGACTTGCTAGGGGCCCCGGCCACGTGCGCCTTCCAGTGCTCTGGCAATGCCCGCGGCGGCGGCGACGAGCGTCAGGGCGCATGCGGCTGGCCCTTGGACCTCGCGGGTCTCCACGCGCTCCAATGCCCAGCGGGGCCGCGCCGCATCCAGCTCGGCTGCACAACGAGATCGCTCGTTCTTTGGCGGGCTGGGTCTCCGCCCACGGCGTGCACGCTGATGTTGAGCGCTGCGTCCCCGAGCTATGCCAGGAGGCCAGCGGCGGGATCACCGAAGTGCGGCTCGACCTGGCCGTGAGCTGGTTGGGCCTGCCCACGCCGACCTGGGTGGGCGCCATCGGCCGCTCGCCGGGAGAGTCGGGCCCGGCAGTCCGTGCAGCCATGGGCGCGGAGCGGCGCGCGAAGGACCGGTACGGCGACGCGGTCGTGGCCTTCGCGGCTGAGACCCAAGGCTGGCTCGGCCCCGCCGCGCAGCATTTCGTGGCGGAGGTCGCCACCGCTGCGCGGCGCACCGGCGCGGCCGCCCCGGCAAATTTCGCGAGGCAGGTGTCGGCGAAGGTGTTCGGCGCCCTCCCGGCGCGCCTGGCCGACCTGCTGCTGGCGGGGGCACTTCCTGACGCTGATCCCGTGGGCGCGCGCAGGCTGTCCTGAGTAGCCCTCCTTCGCTTTATGTTGCCTTCTCATGTCGGATGTCGCGCTTTCAGGGGATTGGTTCATCATCATCATTATTATCATCAGCATCAGCATCAGCATCAGCATCAGCATCAGCATCGGCATCATCATCAGCATCATCAGCATCATCATCATCATCATCATCATCATCATCATCATCATCATCATCATCATCATTATCATTATCATCGACATCAGCAGCAGCATCAGCATCAGCATCCGCATCAGCAGCATCATCACCAATAGCAACATCATCAGCAGCAGCAGCATCATCATCAGCAGCATCACCACCGCCATACAGAGAGCCCCACCGAAGGCCCCAACTTGATGGCCTGCATGTAACCGCCGTACCCATCTCGGCACACCACTCGCACGTTTCGTGGCCCGCATGGAGCTCCACCGAAAACCCATTGGGAGGGCCCGCGTGCCACAGGCGCACCATTTTCGGCACACCCCCGACAAGTGTAGCGGCGCGATAGGGCGCTCCATCGAAGGCCCCACCTGATGCCACCGCCGCAGCCACTTCGGCACATCCCTCACACGTCTCGTGGCCCCGCAGGGGGCGCCGCCGAGGGCCCTAATGGGATGACCTGCGTGCCACCGCCGCGGCCACTTCGGCACAACCCCGACATGCTTCGCGGCCCCAAAGGGAGCTCAAGCAAAGGCTGCAGTGGAAGGGCCTGCGTGCCAACGCCGCGTTCATGTCGGCACGTCTCTCACGCGCTCGGTGGCCATGCAGGGAAGGAACCCAGTCGAATACCCAAGCTGGAAAACTCGTTTTTTTGGTGATTGCGCCCCATGCCCCGTCCTCTCTGTGGCGCGCTGCTTATGAGGAGAGGACCGCGTCCAACGCTATTAGCACTTTGCTCGCCCCCTCCTTCGTGCGCCTAGTGGGATTCGCAGCTGCGTGACATGGTTGGGTTTTTTCCTCAACTTTTCCGCCCCCGTGGCCCGTCCCAGGCTTTGGGGTCGTCAAAGTGCCCAAGAACGAAAGGCTGGTTCCAGGAATAACTCCGGGGTGCAGGATTTCTGTCCCTGTGGGCCCTGTTCCCTCTTGGTAACGAACACAGGCGGCGGGACAAGCCAACGAAACGAGATCGAACAAATTGAGCTCGGGATGAACACGCTTTGTTTAACAAGGAGGCGAAGGGAAAGGGGACTGGGACGTGAGAAGGCAGGGGGTGGGGGGGGGGACAGACGGACCAGGAGAGCGGAGAGGCCCAGGAGGAGGACAATGGTGGGGTGGGTGAGGGGGGACACAGAGAGGGAGGGGGAAGGAGAGAATCGAGGGGCTGGGAGTGGGATGGGATGGGGGGGAAGGGGGGGAGAATGAGAAAGAGGAAGAGACTGAGCTACAGGGTGGGGGATAGGCGGAGGGAGCGGAGGGGTGGCGCCGGTCAGCGGGTCGCCAGAACCAGCCCCAGCCCCCCCGCGCGAGGAAACGCTGCAGCCGAGCAGCTCCTCGCCGATCGCGTCGCGCGCGACCGGCGCAAGGCTCGCCATTCCCGGCAGCTTCCTGTCGAGCACGACGGGCAGCCAGTTCTTCGAGTCCAACAGGCTCGCGTCGGCGGCGGAGTTTTGAGGTCTTCGGGTCTGTTCGTTGGTTCGCGGCAGCTTTGTGGCCTCGGGATGCTCTCCAGGTTTTGCGGCCTCGGGGGAACGAAAGGCGTCGGTTTTCGGACGTGTTCTGGGTTGTCGATGGTTTTTCAGCTTGGGGATGCTTCCCAGCAGCTACGCCTTCCCGAGAGCGTGCCAGGGGTGCCTGCATCGTCCCGAACGGCCGCCAGAGGCCCGAGCTATGGCCCGCAATCCATCAGGGGCGACGTGAGCGGGGGGTCTGCTCAGGAGGGGACGCATCGACCCCCCGATCGCCCACGCATCGCCGAGAGGGACCTGGTAGCCCATTTTGCCCAGGACCGTGCGGATCCGCCATGTGATTGTTTTTTATCAATTATTTTGCTGATCGGCGCGGGCCTCCACCCCCCCCTCCGCCGCCCCCCCTGGAGTAGATCTTAGCTGTTTTTTGTCGCCTGTTTCGAGCGGGTGGTGTCTCCCCCAGAGGCCGCGCTCTTACAGACAGTCGCATTGAGCAGAGGTCAGGAGCCAGACCCCCCCCCCTCCCCTCACCTTCAGCCCAATGTCGAAACGCCGATTCTTTGTTTATAAAAAAACGTTCACCATCGGGAGCCTACCCCCGACCTATCGGCGATGTACTATCGATTCCAGGTCTATGTTTTCCCTTCTGGGCTGGTCACCCCCTGGCGTTCCTTCTCGAGACGGGGCTCCAGGAGGAGGGGGGGGCGGCGGAACGAGAGAGGGATGCGGACGGGTTCCGGTCAGAGGAGGGGGAGGAGGAGGCGGAGTAGGAGGAGGAGGAGGAGGCGGAGGAGGAGGAGGAGGAGGAGGAGAGGAATGAGGAGGAGGAGGAGGAGGAGGAGGAGGAGGAGGAGGAGGAAGAGGAGGAGGAGGAGGAGGAGGAGGAAGAGGGAGGAGGAGGAGGAGGAGGAGGAGGAGGAGGAGGAGGAGGAGGAGGCGGAGGAGGAGGAGGAGGAGGAGGGAGGAGGAGGAGGAGAGGAGGAGGAGGAGGAGGAGGAGGAGGAGGAGGAGGAGGAGGGGAGGAGGAGGAGGAGGAGGGAGGAGGAGGAGGAGGAGGATGAGGAGGAGGGGAGGGGGAGGAGGAGGGGGAGAGGCGAGAGGCGAGAGGCGAGAGGCGAGAGAGGGAGGAGGAGGCGGAGGAGGAGGAGGAGGAGGAGGAGGAAGAGGAAGAGGAATACTACTACTACTACTACTACTACTACTACTACTACTACTACTACTACTACTAGTACCACTACTAATAATAATAGTAGTAATAGTAATAGTACTATTAATAATAATAGTACTAATACTACTAATAATAATAATAATAACAATAATATTAATACTAATACGAGTACTAATACTAATACTGCTAATAATAATACTAATCATAATAATAGTACTAGTAATAATAGTAATAATAATAATAGTGAACATAATCATAATCATAATCATAATAATAATACTAATAATAATACTACTAATAATAATAAGCATAAGAAGAAGACGAAGAACACGAACACGAAGAAGAAGACTACGACGAAGAAGAAGAAGAAGACGAGGAGGAGGAGGAGGAGGAGGAGGAGGAGGAGGAGTTGGAGGAGAGGAGGAGGCGGAGGAGGAGGAGGAGGGCGGAGGAGGAGGAGGAGGAGGAAGAGGAGGAGTTGGAGGAGGAGGAAGAGGAGGCGGAGGAGGCGGAGGAGGAGGAGGGAGTTGGATGAGGAGGAGGAGGAGGCGGATGAGGAGGAGGAGGAGGACCTGCTGGAGGAGGAGGAGGGGGAGGAGGGAGGGGGGAGGAGGAGGGGGATGATGATGATGATGATGATGATGATGATGTGATGATGATGATGATGCTGATGATGATGATGATGATGATGATGATGATGATGATGATGATGATGCTGATGCTGATGATGCTGATGATGATGATGATGATGATGATGATGATGATGATGATGATGATGATGATGATGATGTTGATGATGATATGATGATGATGATGAGAGGAGAGGAGGAGGAGGAGGAGGAGGAGGGAGGAGGCGGAGGCGAGGCGGAGGCGGAGGAGGAGGAGGTGGCGGAGGGGAGGAGGAGGGAGGAGGCGAGGAGGAGGAGGGGAGGCGGAGGAGAGGAGGAGGAGGAGGGGGAGAGGAGGAGGGGGAGGGAGGGAGGGGGGAGAGGAGGGAGGGAGGAGAGGAGGAGGAGGAGGAGGAGGAGGAGGAGGAGGAGGCGGAGGAGAAGGTTGTGGCCTCGCCGAGCTTCCGCGGGTGTCGGTGTGGGTGCAGGCGTTTTGCTCGACCTGGCCTCACATTCACAGGAGGAGGGACGGCTCTTTCAGAGCGGCAGCTTTCAGAAGCTTTGCCTCAAGTACGTACGGCGTTCCGCCGGCTGCCTCGTTGACTCTAACCTGCAGGACCTGAGCGATGTGCCTAGGTGGATGAGGTGCGGATTGAGGGAATGCAATTGGGAGTCGGCGCGAGAGCGGTTGGGGGCGGATGTAGGCTGTGCCTTCAACTAGCCGATGTCTACGTTATTCGTCGTCGTCGCCCAGCATGCACGCTTCTCGCCAGGGCCGCACATTGCCTGTAGTATCACGTGGGTGTTTTCGAGTAGTGAGATCGTCAGACTGGCGCTCTTCTGACATGTTTGACTCAAGGCCGCTGGGGGGACTTGAGTCAACCATACAATCCAGCTGCCTATGGCAAGTCCCGCCATCGTGCCAGGCTTCTGGGTATGAAGCCGATTGGTTGTTCGTTGACATCTCGCGGGAGGCCCCTCGGGGGCCTCTCGGAGGCAGTTTTGACACCTCTTGGGGGCCGGTTTGGGGGCTTCCATGGGTGTTAGAAGCATGCGTCGGAGATTTGGAGGACATAAGGATGGTGGGCCCGAAGAGGCCGGGCTCGTTCGCGCAAGACCAATCCATTGTTGCTTCGAGCCCTTCTGCCTGCGTGCCGGGCTTAGAGCTTGCCGCGCACAGTCCCGGCACCAGGTGCTGGGTTGTTGGCGTTGCGCTCGTCGGCTTCCACAGTAGCGAGTTCGCGCACTTAGCTCGCAACAGCAAGTGTGTCCAGGGAGAGGGAGCTGAGGATATGCCCCAGCGGTCCCGGCCCCGCGCCCCAGGTGGCAAGGCATGCCAGGTTAGCTCCAGCGACCCGCCTCAGAGGAGACACATCTGAGGCCCTGCTATAGGCGGATGGCCGCAGTTTGCATCTCAGCAGCAACCGCACCATCACAGCGATATATTATTTCCTGCCTCCCTCCAGTGCTCTTGCGTGTACCGTTTTGGTCGCACACCATTGTTCGATACTTCGCAGTAGTGGGGTGGGCGGCTTCAGGAGAGGAGTCGGGATGCATCACATGAGGGCGAGCGTTTCCAGGGGAGGATAATCGGGTATGCAAATTCATGTAAGCGAGCGCGTTGCTGTATACACGGAGTCAGTTGAAGGGGGGCACAGACCCATACCCATTCGAAACATACAAGATTTTAGGACGCGGTCATGGTCATACTTTACTCGTGTCCTACGAGCTCGCCTGGACAACCCTTTTTCGTTGCAAGAAGCACCCCCTTTAGAAGACCAGCGCATCTGGGCCTGTCATTTTGGTGAGGGCCCCGCTTGGGAAGCGGAATCGACTTGCACCTCTCAGGAGGGAAAAACACACGCAGACACAATTCATCGTCGATTCCCCAGAAAAGAGGGGAAACTATGGGAAGTCGGGGGGGGAAGGCAGAGACACCAAAAATACTGGAAAATATGGGGGACTCCCGTGGTTTGTGTGTATTTGTTTGTGTGTCCCAGGGCCCCTTCAAGCTCACGGGTGCGTCTTCGGGAGCACCGGGGAGGAGGACCATGCAGTCCCACAGAGTGTCCAGCGATGTCCCCCCCTTTTCGAAGAAGGACCGCCCCCCCCACCTGTGCAACTGTGGCAGCGGTTTGCAGCTGTCTGTGGCCATACAGTGAGCGGCTTAAGTAAGGAGCACTTGCTTTTCAAACGGGGCTCGGTCGTTCCTTAAAGGCTTGCGTGCGTTACGTATCCTCCCATATTGTTTTTTTGTATGATTGATTGTTCCTTATGCTTTTTGTTCCTTGGAAAACAGGGGCTTCGTTCCTTATGTATCGTTCCTTAGGTCAGGT